TGCTGCTCAGCCACAAACAGAGCTCACGTGAGCAGTGTCTTGCAGCGAAGGGCAAGCTGGTCTGCTGTGGGAGTGAAAATATCCCCGGGCTGTCCGAGGCACCGATGTGTCCCTGACACAGCACTGCTGGTCCTCCTTTTGCCTCTTTTTTTTTCTGGTCGCTCCCAGAGAACGTTYATTGACCGAGGAGGCCACAGAGGCTGAATTCACATCCAGCCCTAAAGGATGGATCTAGCTATGGTGTTAGGACAGAAATAAAGATCTTCCGTCTCCACAGTAATTAATACCTGTCCGTCTGGTTTCAAGTCAGCTGTGTATAATAAATGCAAGAAGGTAAGTGTCCTGCTGCTGAGCTCCTACTAATTGTCACGCAGGCAAGACAATTTATAACACCTTTTCCAAGTGTCCCGTCGAGGGCTCATTCATGTGGTTCCTCTACCRGCCAGATGCAGCCTTGAGAATATGAGAATTCAGAGATTTGCCCTGCTGCCTTGTTACCCTGCGTGACCATTTTGATAAGCGTTCTTGTTTAATCATTTCCCTGCATAGAGCCCAGGGTTCTCTTGTGTTTGTCTGTGTCATATTAATAAAGGTCCATTTGGGAGGACGCTGGGGGTGGAAATGATTTGACCGAGGTTAAGTAACAATTGTACAAAATTGTTTTGACATTATGTTAATGTCTCCTCCTGTATTATCCCCAATTTAAAGTTAATCACCAAAATTACCATTGCAGTTCCCCAAAATGTAATGAAATAAGATTTGTTGAGGTGTGAATAATACAGAAATTGAGAAGCGCAAGTAAACTGCTGCCTTTAACTCTCTGAGTGCACATAGGAACTGAGACGAGCTCTTGCATTGAACCAGACCCATCTAAAACTTGGAAACTGCTGGTGACTGAGCAGGCTGGGGTCTTGCCGGGGTGCCTGTGTGCACAGAGCTCCGCTCAGCGGGGCCCTGCTCCACGTCTCAGCTGCCGGGACATGAGCAGACTTCTGCTAATAAATATGAATTGGCACTTTAGCAGTGAATAGGTTTTATCATGACCTCGCTGTGCTGAGCTGAACATACCTGATGAAGGAAGATAAAGACAGACCACRGCTATCAGGAAAAGGCATTTGGAAAACTGATTACCATAAATTCAAATCAAAAAGCCATGGGTAAATACTAGCAGGAGAAATCAAAAGGGACGGAGGAGTCTGTTTACCTCCAGTGTTACGCCTGAAAGAATATGGACAAAAAGGAGGAGGAATAAGGAGAAAATGACAGTACGGAACTGGATCCAGGAGCCTGGTTTGCAATCCACAGTATGAGTTGTCTAAAGTTCCTCCTTTCCCGTTCAGATGTTTGGGATAAGAACCTTTCAAAGCAAAGGCTATCACACCACCTATAACTGGGAAGAGGATTTTAATAGCCATTTMTGTAGAAACTGGAAAATGGGAAGCGATGTGGGTTTGAACCATCACTTAAACCAAAGGAAGGAAAATAGTGTAGCTGGGTACTCRAGTGTGGTAGAAACAGGCATAGAACATCTGTTCTTTCACCCAAACTTCACACCCCAACGTGTTTCACTTGTTCTGCGAGGCAGGGAGGGTCACATTTTCTATAGAAAATTCCATTTTTCACACAGGCAGGGGAAAATTCTGTATTTGCATCTAGATTTCCCGAGGTTGTGTGTGGAATGAAATAGATGGTCACAATTCAACATGTCTCCACACAGTAATTGCAGCCAGCTTTGTGAATAACAAGTACAATTTCAAGTGTGAAGGCTTGAGAGAGGCTGAAAACCTGATCCTCTCTATTCCTCAAAAAGCTATAGAATCGCTGCACTGCTGACTTTAATAAATTCCCTATGGATATTTCAGATCCACTCTAAAGTGGTCACACAAAATCCTCTTTCACCTTCCCATCTCTTTAAAATGGCCCTTGTCTTTCCAGTCACTTTGTTGTTGGGATTTTTGCAGTGACATACAAATGAGGACATTTTGATTCACAGAGTGAAGAATTAAAGATGCTTTTCTCTTGAAGTTTTTGATGACTTTTCATTGTATGATGGAGCCAAATATCGATCAGGACAAAATCGATAGCTGCTTCCAGAAACAAGAGAAAATGCCCCAGATATAGTGCACTTCATATATGGGCTCTGTAGCTGCATTTCAAAAGGAAAACTAATAGACTCATTCCATAGGTTATTGGTGTATGAAATAAACTCACTGCTAGAAAGTCCAGCATGAGGAAAAAATCAGATATGCAGCAAAAACAGCGATACTGACCTCACGCTGAAATTTGAAGCTCACAAAGAAAATAATGCAAAATAAAGTTCAGAACTATTCTGGAAACTCTAATATAAATGTGAGACCACAAATGGATTTCAGGGTGGTCTAGTAGATTTATCACTTAAACTCTCCTTAATATCAGCATCACATAAAATCTATCCCAATCCAACTGAATGTGTTTCATGAGCTGTTGCTGAACTCGGCTGAGGAAGAGCTAGCATCTTCCAAACTGGACTGCTCGTCTAGTTAAGTCTTCCCATAATATGATCCCTTGGAAAGACTGTATTTTATAATATGTTTTTGCTAGCATAAACTTTCCCAAACTCTTCCAAATCCAGTCTCTTAGCAGTTTCTAAATAGACAAGATTTAATGCCTTGGGAACCCTTTGCCTTATCTTTGGCGTGTCGATTTTGCTTTTAATTGGAGAAGGCTTCTTGGACAGACTGGTGCCTGCTGAGCCATAAATTATTTTCCTCCTCTGATTAACAAGCTCAGCACAATCTTCATTAACAAGGGTTCAAAGGTTGTTGGCATTTTTGTTTTTGTGTAGAGGCTTTTGGGAGGTTACTAAGGAACTTAGCATGACAGAGGACCGTGTTATAACAGTATCTAATGTGCAAAAAGATTGTGTAGTTCATTAAATTTATTTAATATGCTTGCAACAAACATTAGAAGCTCCACCTTCTACCTACAATTCATTGCCTATAGTGATTGTCAACAGCTAGGTACAGATTTGTCTGAGCAAGCCCAAACTTCCCGTGACCTCAAGCACAGAGAGGCTGTTTCAGCACCGGCCTCCCTCTAGCAGAGCAAGCAGCCTTCAGGCTGTGTGGGTGAGTTTGGCTAGTCTCTTCCCACAGAAAACAAATCATCTGCAAACTGGAACTCAGGCCAGCCTAGCTGAGCACTTTGCAAAATGCTCGCTTAGCCTGAAGCTCAGATTTGTGTTATCTGTGCCAAATTTAGAGAGAGGCAGCAAGATTCCTAGGGTTCGGTGGGAGCCAGGCAGGTTGTGGAAGTTAAAAGCAAGTGATGAGACCTATTTCACACCCAGGTTTCAGGGATTCAGGCTTAGTAAAGTGGAAGTCAGGGAAATTTCATACATAGAGCACTGAGAATGGAAACTCACAGCTCGCTCTGCTCTTTTCCCCTCCTGGGATCTGGTTGTCAGTTTGGGGCCATTTGTGCATCGCCCCAGGCTTGAAGATTCATCCTGGACTTCTGAGACACAAGTCATTCCATTTTAGCTTGTGACAATGGCTCTTTGCAAACCACAAGGTTGCCTGAGACACTCCTGCTCCCAGGTCTCCTGTGTCTTCTCAACAAGTTTCTTTCCAAGCTTTTTAGCTTCTCTCGTGATTCCAAACTGCCATGGGAATGGCATTAGTTGGCAACGAGCCCCTGAGTTGCCCAAATCAGCATCTAGTCCTCTCCAAACAGGAATTAAATGGCAAAGTAGAGACGCAACTTTTCTGCATTTGCTCTTCCCAAACACTGAAATTCTTTTCTGGGCTGTGTCCTCTCTTCTTGACTGTATGCTGGGACCTCCTTAAAGCTGCTGAGTTTTTATCTGCAGAACCAAAGCCTGTCTGACCCTGAATCACAAGTCATTGAACACTTTGAAACCATGGGAATATATGGACCAGAGGAATTTCAAGTTCAAGGTGTACATAATGAACCAGAGTTTTTACAGCAGGCAGGAAGGCATTAGGTGAACCTTAGGGTAAGTCCTACTGTATGCCCTTACTCAGGGGCGGGGAGAAAAAGATAGTCTTCAATATAAACCTAGGATCGATAGTAAAAACTATCCAAGTTGCATTTATTCATCCATTTTCATTTGCTTCAGGCCTTTCAGGAAGGAGAGCTGTGTTGCTTGGCTGCTGGGAGGGAGAGAGGCTAATACTGAAGACTAAACAAGGCTCTGCAATTAGACAATGTCTTTGTAGCATAACAGAGGCGCCAAGATGACCTCAGAGGCCTTTTTTACTGTTGCAGAAACATACTGGACAAGTTTTCTCAGCAGCTGTACATTAGTGTTCCGTAGTTAATGGGCTGATTATAAATTACAACAGCTACCCTAAGATCTTCCCATCACTTTGGATTTCTTCACGGCAACTTTCTTTCCCTCTTTTCGCTTGCCTCCAAGGGCTGTTTTGCAAATATGTGCCATCCGGTGGGAAAGCAGATGGGGGAGTAATAAAAATCATGTTTTATGGATTCATATGGAGATTGTTCTGTCCATTTTTTTTTTTTTTTAAGGATTTGCCTCATATTTCTTTTTAGGAAAGAACGTTTCAGGCTAGCAATGTGGGACTGAGAGCCATGAGAAGGATGGAGGTGAGTATGCACAGTATCCAAAGATGGGGAGAGATTTCACAGACATCCTGATACAGGTGGATTTTAATTATACATTGCTTCACCTTAAGCTTTTTATTTATATTCTCATTAATCCATGCCACCCGTACTGTCCTGCTCCGCACAAAAACAGGCTCAGTACAGTATAACTGTGGAATGACAGAGCTTGGGAATACATTCAGTGAGTAGGGGTGAACCCAAGTCCTCTGCATGGGCTGACAGAGGGGCTCACAGCTGCTGGCCCCACTGCAGGGACTTSCACCTGGGCCAAACGGATCAGCTGCAGGGTATCAGCTAATCTCGTGCCTTAATTTCCCCAGCTTACTTAAGAGACCAGGAGTGAGGAGAAGATTCTCTTAGAGCTGGTAAGAAAAGAAGGGATCTTTTTGCTTCTCTGGGTGATTTTTATTTATTTATTTATCTTTGTTTGCTTGTTTTTAAAGCTCTGGCTGACTTGAATTGCAAGCTGTGYAGCTGGCCCTGGTCTACTTGAAGCAGCTGTTTCCTGTGTTACCTGAAATGTTTTCTGTCTCTTTAGCCTTAACTTTTCATTTGGAAAGAGGATGTCTGTGTGAAGTTAGGTGTGAGCAACCAGCAAAAGTTATGTCTTGATCAGTGGGTTTTTTTTTTTTTTTTTTTTTTTTTYYAATTGCTTTTTGCAGATAGGTGAGGGTGTTCCTAATTTCTTCACTGTTGTGTGGGTTTGTCTGAGGTGGATGTGGTGGGAAAGGGCCTGTGCTGCCCCTCTGTGGCCTGGAGCGCCTTGTCCTGGGGTGGCTGCTGCCGCTGCCCTCGTGGCCAGGGGCCTTGTGGGTTCTCCAGCACCATGGCGGGATCTTTTCTCAAGAGCTCATGGCTCTATTTGCTCTCTTCCCTTCTTTCTGCAGSTGCTCAGAGGTGGTGGGGGGATCCCTGGAACGCCCTTAGCAGCAGAACAAAAACATGGTCCGTGATTCACAGAATTTGATTGCTTATGAGCTAAGTACAGAGACTAAATATTTTGCCTGATTTCTGAGCTTGGACTCCTTTTCTTTCCCTTCTCCCTCCCAAATGGCTACACCTGTCTCAAGGGATTGGAGGACTCCCAATCTAAACCTGAGCTGTTTAAGTCACCTGGCTTATTATTTTTTTAAATGGTTTCAGGCATGTTGGATCATGCAAGCAGTGGGAGCACTGGACAACCACACACCAGGAGCTCTTGATATCCTGCTCTTTGCTTAACATGGAGAAGAGCTCTTAGCATGGGGTCAGTGCAAGTAGCAGCTCTGTGTCGGCAGAGAGCAGCTGCCTGATTTTAGGGACTGGCAGAGGGACTTTTCCAGCAGGAAAACAGTGGAAAATGGCTGCTGAGGCTGAAGCAGGTTGTGTGTCTGTTGTGTGTGCCCTGTTCTGYGGCTGGCTTAGCCCATATTGCTCAGTGGAAAATGTGCCATACCTTCCATTCAAATGCACTTCAGGGAAGCAGAGAAAGGGATATGAGAAGATCCAATGGCAATATTTGTCTAACAGCAATTTCCAGTTGTGAAGAAAGGTGGATTTTTGTTAACACTGGGCTGATGAAGCCCTGGAGCAGTTGCYTAAGGGATATGGGTGGAACTCTGTTACTTAAACTTAAGCTTACTTAACTCTGTTACTTAAATTCAGTAAATCAAGCTGAGACTGCTTTTCTGGAAGAGGAGTTTCCCTCCCCAAGAAGCTCCTGAGCTCAGTGACGGCCCAGTGGAAGAATTTTTACTTCAACAAGTAAGTGTGGGGTCAGATAAGATGATCCTGATAGTCATCTTGCTTTCAGAGTTGAAAAACTTGAGCATGTACTTCATAAAAGTGGACTCAAAAGGCTGAAAAAGATCTGAAAGCTAAATGTTGCCTTCCAAACCCAATTACTGAGACTGCATGTTAGTGATCTGTGCCCTTGATGGGACAAAAGCCCTTTGCCACTGTGTGACAAAGGGTACGAGTGCTAGAAGTGAGGGGGCTGAAARGATTTCCAAATGCACTGTGACTTTTCCTTCCCTTTCCTTCTTTCCTTAGCTATTGCCTCAGGCTAAGTTAATGTCTGCATTTCAGAAAGGGTCTCCCAGCATGTGCTCAAGGTGATGACCTGGAAGGTGGCTCCAGGGAAGCACAAGGTTCCAAGAAAGCCATGAGGCTGGACTGGAATGTGCACAGGGATGAGGTGGTTATTGGTGGCTCCTTGGAATTGCAGTGTGTCTCTAAGGTCCTGCTTCCTCTCCTACCATGGCAGGTATGCATGAGATAGGTGATTTCACCGCTTGAGAGTTTTCCCCAATGCTGTGTGAGATGGAGCAAAGAGCCTTTGCTTCCCAGCACAGAAAGGAGGGAGCTGGCAGCTCCATTAATGAGCGCTTGCAGCCAAGCTTGTCTTGTATCTGATGCGCTGCATGCGTGCAGGTTATGAATAATTTCTTCTCTAAGAAATGAACCCAGGTTAAAAATAACCACTGTGYTTAGCTGCTTCCTTCCTGCTCGCTGAGGCTGGAGATGTGTTGAAGTGCTGGCAGTCGGGGGAATGTTTGGGAGCCAGGTTTGCCTGGTGTCTCCAGCCAGCACTGGGAGATCCAGGGATGGCTGCAGGGCAGCCAGTAGAGTCTGGGCTTCTCACCCTGATCTGGAAGGGGATGTTTTTTCAGAGTGATGCAGAGGTGATAATTTCTCCATTACCCATTCAAGCCTTGACCCTCTGCTGAGGCTTGTTAGCAAGGGACCAATTAACRCCATGTGGTTGGTTGTGATGTGTCTGTCTCTCCCACTGGAGACTGAATTCAGGCAGGATATCTTAGAGCTGCTATGGAGAGGACATGAGCTTCATGCACTAGACACACAACAGTCTCTTGCATGTGACACCAGGTCCCTGTTGCTCTCTAGACTGAACTTGTAGGGAAAAACACATTTGGAGGGTATGTGATAATATTGTTGCTTGTCAGTCCCTGCTCCCGTTGGAAGGAATAGATTTGCAAGGGGTGTGTGAGGCCAGGGAGGGTTGCAAGCTTATGGCCTTTCCTTCTCCAGCTGACTGATGCTGATATTTGTCATTAATTCTCAGCTTGGTGGTGGTTGTGGGAGGAGTTGGTYGCTGCATGAGCAGCACAGGCACAGATAGCTGGTAACACATGAGGACTGCCTCATCCCCTGCTGACCCAAAGGACTAAATAATAGCCTAGAGTGGCACTGTAAGTAATTATTTCATTGCAAACTGCAAGAACATATCATTAGTATTAAGCCCAAAAAGCACGGTTAAGGCTATGCAGCTTAGGTTGTGAGGGGGATAAAAGCAATTGGTTATTTACTTCACTGTTAACAAAGTGTTTTTTTCCTGACCAATCTTCATGTGAATGAGGTTTGGCAGATCTTGCCTGGAAAAGAGGTGAAGGTTTCTGATCTCTGTGCTTGGAGAAAAGGGAGGGAGGACGTATGTATATAAAGTGTCTTCTAGCACCCAACCATCAGAAGCTCTCTGCGAGTCTACTTGGCATGCATATGCCCACCTGGGCAAGGTTAGTCMTTCAAGGAAGGTGATGAGCAGGGGAGGCAATTGATTTGCCCTGGATCCAGAAGGATTTGAGCCAGGGGCCAGGTACTGAGACCTCTTATTTGGAGTCTGAAAGGACCTGAGAAGCTGTGACCCTCCATACCACCACACAAGATAGGCAGGAACTGTGTCACCGAGTTGACACCACCTTCCTCCCCCAGTGCTCTGAAGCAATGAAGCTTTTGAGTCTGAAGCTTTGGCCTTTTTCTCCCCTGGGTGACCCTGAATTGTTCCCAGCTCAGCAGATGCAGGATGCTTTTCTTGTGCTAGTCTCCTGGAGCAGAGYTTTTGTGGATACCTTCAAGTCCTGTCGCTCCTGCCTTCCCTTAGATGCTGGAGCAACATGAGCCTGCAGGTCTTGGTCAGCCCTTCTCTCTTGCTTTGTGGCTATGCCTTGTCTGCTCCTAACCTCTGGGAAATTGCTATAAAAAATGATCCAATCTGTAGAAATCACAAGGTTCTGTGTCCTCACTTAATTATTGTTTTATTTTAATAAGCAATTATGTTTTGAAGGCACCTCAGGGCTCCAGGCGTTAACCACTTATCACCTGCTGAGTGATTTAAAATTAGTGAAGCACATCCCATTTGCAGGTTGGAATAAGGCCTGAATTGTCTCTGCAGACAAATGAGTTCAGAAATGCACCGCGTTTGTAACTCGCTGCTTATGGATTCATACCCAGCCCTCAGAGGGGCCAGTTGTGTGCAGAGGGACTGTTGAGATGTGCTTCCTTGTTCTGATGAGAAGCAAGGGACTCATTAAAGGCTGTGAAAAGGAGAAGACTTTGTGGCTGTTCTGTACTACTGCTTTGCCGAGGATYTTCCACAAGTGTCTCAAATACAGACCACAAAACCCCAGGGCAGCAAAGCAGACAGTCTCTGCTCTAGAACTGGTACAGTCCCCAGGGCTGTGGGCCATTTTTTTGTTTGTTTATAGGACTTGTGCTCTGCTAAGAGCTGATTTCTTGAGTCCCCTCCAAGTTTATGACACTTTTCTGGGTCCAGGAAATACGCCCTGAACACTTGCATAGCTTGTGGGGTGCCCTGAGCACTGGCACCCTTGAAGAATGAATATTGGGGCCCCTCAAATACTGACTGTCCTTCTTTATAACTTAATGGTTTAGGGTTTTTTGTTGTTGTTCTYCAGCTTCTCCTTGACTTCCAGGTGGGCACAGTTGGAAGCCCATTTGRAAATAAAATAGGGAAGGTATAATGGAATTTTATGTTATGCAGTAAAATAGATGACACAGTAGCCTTACACAGTTCAGGCTAACACTGAACTCCTGTTTGAAGACTCAGCAGCCCAGTCTGCATGTACCATAAAGCATTATTGGCATTATCTACAGTGCTCTGTAGTATGTGTGCCATATGCTGCAAGGTCTACATTCTCTCTCTCTCTCTCTCTCTCTCTCTCTCTATATATATATATATATATATATATGTTGAGTCATTTTATGCTTTCCGTATGGGGTCTGTCCTCAAGGTCACACACAGACGCTGAGGCATTGGGATAATAATGAAAGTTAATAAGCATAATAGGGACCAAGAGGGCTGGACCTGTTGGGGATCCCTTGAGCAGCAGCAATAGGAGACTTCCTAACTCATTTCCCCTTCTGGAGTTTGGAGGGGCACAACTAAGAAGAGGTGGGAAAGAGATAAGGTGAAAAGGAAGGTGGTAGAAATGGAGAATGCTGTGTCCTTGCTGTGGAGAGCTGTTCCTTCCCACTTGCTGCCTAATGTGTCTCTTTGGAGCAGTAAACTTGACACTCTTCATAGTTGAAGATGCTTATTTAAAACTGGGGATTGTCTGAATTAAGTAAGGATGGAAGTGCCTGGTGAAATATGCTCTTTTCCACTAATGTCTCCTCATATGTAATGTGGAAACTGTTCTACATTTGGTCCAAAGCTGCAAGTCTTTGGACCATATGGGTAAGGTCTACTGGTCACTTTCTTCCCCAAACTGTCCATTTCTCCAGCCAGACAGAAAAGAGGGAGAGCTTTGCTTTTGGAGAAGCATGACCTCTTCTAACCAACAACCAACCTTAATTGCATGTCAAAGCAGCTGTTGGTGTGTTCACACTTGTCCAGGACCTGAAAAAGCCAAGCCCTGTCTTGCTTTATTTCCTTGTAGTTTTACTACTTCTCTCTACTTAATATTGCACTCAGCCTGTTTCCTTCTAGCTCTATCTCTATTTTGATTTGGTGACAAATGGTTCCAGCATGTCTCCTGATGGACTGAGCATGATACCCAAGAGTCTTCCAAATGTCTAGGAGCATGGAGTTTGTAAAGGCTGGGCCAGGTTTCCCTTGTGCCCTTTCAGCCTCTGATTTCCTTAAGCCACCTGGGCCCGGGTGCCTCTGGCTGTTGGCCACAACCCTCATGGTGTTTTCAGCTTGAATTTGGTGCACAGCTCAGCAAAGCTTGCCTGTTGCATCCCACCAGGCTTGAGACAGCAGTGCTAATACTACAATAAATTTGGCAGAACTCAGTGATAGGATTTGACCTCATTTGCAGAGGGGAAAAAGAAGCAGTTCCAATTCCTCTGAACARTGAAGTATATTGGAAGCAAATAAAACTAGATATGAAAGGATCACATTCTGTTTTGTCATGTTTAAGTGCAGCTTGAATGTAATTTGGTTGGATTTGGATAAGGAAGTGATGCAGAGACTCTTGGGCACTGGCCTATATTTGCTGAGAAGTCAGTTGTGCCTCGCCAGCCATAGGAATGCATAGGAACACATGGGAATGACTAGTGAAGCTGGTCTTGGGGACTGAGCTAATGCACAGACTCCCTGTGGGAGGTGGCTTGGGGCAGAAGAGGAATAGGAAAATACTCTATGAAACTGAGAAGTGTCCAGCATTTATTTGGTGAAGACATTCAGCTTTTCAGAATTTGTACTTAGCATACAGGCTACCAATATTGAAGGATACAGCCTGACTTGCTAGAGAGTCTCATGTATTCACTCTAGTCTAGCTATTGCACTTCAATACAGCTAGAAAGCAAGATACCTTTGAAACAAGACATCAAGAATCCCTTGCTGCCGGGAATTCAGGGTGGGGGTGAAGTATGGGAATTCAGGGTGGGGGTGAAGTATTTGCAATTTAATTTGGAAATGCTTTGGGGGCTGAATTAATGAGCTGCAATCAACATCTATGCCTGGAGCATTTACATAGATGACAGCCTGTGCTTGAAGAACTTAATCTTGGATACATAAGCTGGATAAAGACATAGAGCTTGGCCTGTCTAGCGATTGCAAAGTTATGTCTGAGTTGCATCAAAAGCCCCTGGAGAATGTGGTCCATTGAGGAACTTGTAAAATGCAATATAAGGATGGGAGGTAAATCCATCCTCCTTGTACTTTTCCTATAGATGTGATATCCATTTTCTAGAATATTTCCTCCTGTGATACTTTKGCTGAAGCATGGTGATGTTTTTCATGAAGAGTCTTGGTATATGTTCTTGGGAAGGTGTTCAAAGAAGATTTCTGCACCTCAGGTCTTCAGTACCCCTTGCTCCTGTGTGGGGCTTGTGCTGGGAGAGGGACGGCTTGGTAGTGAATCCAAGCCAGGGTGAATGGCTGGTAAGACAGGAGGGACACCTTGATAGAAGAGCCATTTGGAAAAATATTAATTAGCAGGCAGCTAGTTCTGGACAATTGAATCTCAGCTCCAGATGTTCCCATTCTAAATACTTTAGCAAAATGCTTAATTGATTACTATCTTGTGAGCTCTGTGTGTATGATTAAAAAAAGACTGCTGAGCTGGAGGTATTGTCCCTTTTGATAGTAACTCTGTATAATGTGTGTTTCTTCTCCTTTTAAAACTTAGAACTTTTATCACAGAGAAACCAGGTCAGGTTTCAAAAGTGCTTTTAATTTACAATCCTTATTGTAGTGTCATGGTGATTAAAGTTGCTGAAAGGCTAGACTATCAATGTATACAGAAATAAAACATATCTGTGTTTGGCTTACAATCTTTTGAGCATGTTTAGGGATGGCCTGCAAATTTAAGGCCTTCTATTTTTTTATGTCCATGTAATAGCTGTAGGGATGAGGAACAGATTAAAGATGAAATATGCTGTTGGGTTAAAATAAAATGAACCTGAGCTTTTTACCCAGTCAAACTAAAATTGAAACTCTTTCCTATTTTTTTCCAGTGTTGGAACTCTAACCAGAATCAGAAATGTTACACAAAAGTATGGAGTTGTTCTAGCCCTCATCTTTGAGGCGTTGGATTTAAGCATTGCAGAGGAAGATGTGTAACAGGTAAAGTCTTTCTATTTTTTTTTGCAATGAGACTGCAAGATCTCAGAGGTTGGAGTTGGATTCTTGCAGTTGAATGGGAAGATGTCATGTGTTAAGATAGAAATTTTATATTTTGTCCTTGATTGCTGGAGTTCTAGGGCAAGAATTTCTGCAAAGGTAAATGTTAGGAAGTTCTTAGTGCTGCCCTTGACCATTTGAAAAGGAAGAGTTTACTAGGAAAAAGGGATCTGAACTTGCTCAGCTCAAACTTCCACCTACTTATTTCTTGCTTGTTGGTTATGCTGGTTGCTTTTTTTCTCCAGACAAGATTGTTCATCTGTGAGCTGCCAACTGACTACACCAGTCTCTGATCATGACCTTCATGCTGCTTTGTCTGTAGCTTAAAAGGCTCATGCCCCATTTAACTTGCAGGCGCTGTCCGGGTACGCCAGTCTTTGCCATCACCCATGTGTGTGGAAGCAATCAAATGCAAAGCAAGTTTGAGGGTAGCTCTGAAGTACAGACCTAATAGTTCAGACATGCATAAACTTAGAATGCATTTTCTTTAATAAAAAAGGCTATTTTTAGCTCCCAGATGGTTGTTTTGTACAGATTAGTGACAAGATGTGCTGCCAAGGGATGTAGGTTGATTTTGGAGAAGCATCAAGCCAGCACACACAGGGCCTGATGTTTTGGAGACTTGCAAGTGCACACTGGCACAGGAGACTTCATATTAGACTTGGGCTGCAAAAACTGTAGCTGTTTCTCCTTGCTGATAGTCCCAATCCAGACAGCTTGATGGGAACAGCAACAGTGGAGAAATCCAAGATGTTTTGGCTTCCCTCCTCTGTGACAAACTGAGCATGCTTCTGTCCCAAAGCATGGCTGTAAGCAGACAGGCCTGGGCATCCTGGTAGCAGGACTTTAAGGATGAGCTATTTCTGTGCAAAAAATAAGTGAAGGTAGGATTTAAAAAAAAAAATCTGCATAGGACCTCAGCTGCAAGATCCTGTTTCAAGTTCCTTTAATCCTCAGCAGAAATGGTAACCTAGGCCATGAACTGGCTGGCAAGAACTGTGGTCTCTTGTGGCTCATGTGAGACTGATTCAAATACCTAGATTGTCACAGAACTGAATGTGGTCATCACATCTGAGCCTCTGGCAGGATGATTTCAAACCCTGGMCTGAAGCTCCTGTGGTCTGTTAGTTTCCCATTTCAAAATGACAGATTGTTCTTACAGCTAATGAACTGTTGCTCTGAGAGAAGACATCAGTGAGAGCAGTTGGGCACTGATGAGCAAAGGCTGAGAGCCTGYTCCGTGATGTTTAGGGCTTTGCAATAATAATTAGATCTTAAAATGTGTCGGTTCTGCATGAGACAAATCATCGGTGTAGACCAGGAGTGTGTTTCCATGGGAGTGAGAGTGTGTATGTCTGATTAGCACAAGAGCTAGCTAATGCATTTGTGACCTTGCATAGCTGCCTGCCAGTTTGTTGGCTACGGGAGTGAGATGGGAAGGAGGAACTCTAGCTCCTTGTTTCCACTGTCTTCAACACTTCTGAGTTTCATAAAACCTTCCCCCAAGGAGCTGCAGTCAGCATTTCTGCTGTAAAGGCAATGAGGAGCATCACTGGGGTCCAGGGATGTGCAGACAACAGGTTTTCCTCCCTGTCAGATCAGCTGTTAGTGGTAAATTGCCATTTGACTGTTTTGAGAGAACAAATCATCTTCCCCAAACACTGCTTGTTATGTCCATGTTACTTCTGTTTCTGCCACTTTTGTGTCAAAGGTTTTTGTGATCAGAGGAAGGATGAGGTGGTTCCTCTGGGGGAAGAGGAGATGCTGAGGTGACCTCAGATGGCTGCAGAATCAGGGGAAGGAGGACTGAGATGACTGCATGTGTGCCTGTGGTATCCAGAGGTATCACTGCAAACACTGCAGCTGGCTCTATCTGGCTTTTGCAGAGCAATAGTAATGTAGGGGATAGCAGAGGAAGCTTCTCCTGCCTTCCCCATGCCAGGAATGGATAAATTACCTGTCTTCAAGAAGAATAGGAGGAGCATTTGTTGATACTTTGGKATTTTTCCAGGATCTATGGCACAAAAATGCAGCTTGCATTCAAAACAACTGTAGCTTTGCTTTGTAAAGGAATCCTTTATCTTTCACCCATGTCTTTCACATTACTGCTTACAAGGAGTCCCCACAATCCTTTTAGTTGTTGCTTCTTCCCTTTCTTTTGGCTTATTGGGAGCTGACATAGAATGTATTTGCTGTCCCTCTGGGTTTAGAATTGCACCTGGTGTTTGAGAGCTCACACATCCCATTTAAGAAACCTTATTTAGGACTTGGTGTGGCAATTTGTTAAAAATCTAGACATGAATTCTGCACTCTTCTGTGTACTGCTGAGTGGATGGGATCATGCAGGGTCTCTTATTGGGGGTTGTGGGCTCAACACTGCTGATCCTTAGGCCAGTCTCTCTTGAATTGCTTGGCATGACCGCCCTTTTTATGCCCCTTTTTCAAGTCTAATTTTAGCCCTTAAAAGGAAAGAGCAGGAGAGTTTCTCTTGCTTTGCTYGTGCACCAAAGTGACCTCACTGAGAATTAGGTCAAGGCTAACACAAAGTAGGTGAAACCTTGCAGAGAGCAGAGAATACCCGGGGGGCTCCAGGCTCAGAGAGCAAACTGCTTTGTCACCACATTAAATCAAATCCACAGCACAGCTTGTTTMTGGTAGCAGTCAGGCAAGAGAGGCCTTGGAGGATGAGGAAGTGAGGTGAGAAAGAATGTGAGGAGCTACTCACTTGTATGYATTAGGTCTTTCTTCCCCATTAGATTTTTTTTAAGTATAAAAAAAGAAAAAAAAATCCAAATAGCTGTTGGAACTTCAGGTTGCTGAATTTCACATGTATTCAAATACCAGCATTGTATCTATGGCATGTGAGGTCATCAGACCTCWCACCAGGGGCAGCCCTGATGCTACTCAGTGCTGGGGAGAAGTGAAAATTGGCATCACACAAACTCCTGTCTTAGTAGTAACTAATTTGACTGCCTTGCTGGTGCCAGAGCTACCACTTCCACTTTGATGTTGAGTCCATTACATATAGAGAAAACCAAGCAAGCTGGAGAGGAAAGAAGGGTTTTTCAGACTTTTGGCTGGATTGCAACTAAGATAATCTTGTTCTGTCTTATAAAAATGCCTTTTTTTCCCTCTTTGATCTGTGAAGGGTATTGCCCCCTCCTTTGCTGGCTCCCAAACCGCTTTGAGCCCTTAGTGGACTCTGCTGGCCACTGGTTTCCAATATTGAAGGTTRCTGTATTTCAAGGATGAAACCAAATAATTCTTCTGTGATTTCATTGTGAGATGTCTGGCTGAAAGCCTGGGAAACAGTTTTCTTATGACCCAGTGTTTGATGACAGTGGACTAAGTTTTATGCTGCTCTGGTCTCCCTTGCTTGCTTAGCTATTACCTGCATGGCTCAACTGAGGTGATGGGGTAAAAAAAAAAGCTGATCTGCTGCTGCTGGCAAAGGCCAGAGCCCTGCAAGGAGGCCCCTCAGGAGGGAGGAGAATCTGTAGAGATTGAGCCTGATTTAATTCTTCTTATATAGCGTCTTGGCAGCTGTCTAGATCTGACAGGTTGATAATAAGACTTTCCCTCAATGCAAAAGGGAAAGTAATTTACATTGGCTTCACACCTCCAGTAAGCAGGGAAGATCCTGCCCCTCGTTGGTGTAAATGGGGAGCAGACGTGCGAACAGGAGCAGGCAGGAGAAGGGGCTTGGCTCGGCTCGCTCCCCGCCTGAGCGAGCATGGGAAATGCCATTTGGAAAGCCCCGCGGGCCCGAGCCCTGCGCTGGGATTTAACATTCTGCCCACRGCGGTGCTTGGGAGCAGCTTTCCAGCCAAATCCTCAAGGATCACGCTCTTGCAAGGAGCAGGGGCGCTCCCAATTTCATTTTGCTCCATTTAGCCGGCACTTCTGCTGATGGAGATGTGAGTCTAGGGAACTCCAGCGCCCAGCTGCTCTCGGGTTTGCTTTTTTTTTTTGTTGCATTGTTACCACCCTGGAGCCCCTTGGGAAGGCCCTGGCACTTCCTGCTGGGCAGCGAAGGCCTTGATGAGTTAGGAAGCGGGCAAGGGAACAATTCTCCCTGGTCAGTGGATGCAATTACCCAGCCTCCAGCTCCCTCACTACCTAAGCTGATGTAGTCCTTCCCAGGAGAACTGACAAGCCAAGRCCATTTTAGACCAGTCCAAGCCTTWACCTGCCTTATGTTTCATTTTAAATATGATTGTYTTTGGAGGGGGWGTGGATGAAGGTGAGCTGGTCTTTGGGCATGCTCAACCTGGAAAGGTCTGGGATACAGGAGATTGAAGCCAGGGAGGCTCCTGTGAGCTCAGCAGGAGTGCCCTGCGGAGCCTCTGGAGATGGGAAGGAGGATGTTCACTTAGTTTTTTAATTTTTACTTTGTTTTCTAATCCAGAGAGAAGTTGAAAGTTGCTGGGCAGCAGAGCAGGAGAGAACYCTGTACTGAATGGACTCAGTGGTCAGAAGATAAATTTGTTCGCCTTATTTAATCTCTTTAAAAGAAGCCAGTGTTGAGGTTTCTGTTGATGTATTCTCACTTCAGATAGTGTAATGTGGTTCTTCAAGAAAAGCAAAAGTCCCCACACAAAATTGTGGCTGGAGTGATTAATTTATGGTATTGGTGGTGTGAGTGGGGAAGAAGCCTCATGTGGTAGATTAGGAAGAAATGTGTTGCTGGAGAAGGAGTGAAAGGCAGGTCTTCAAGAAAGGGTCATGTTATAGTCATGGTGTCCTCGGGACAAGGTTGAAAGTACCCATTTGGGAGCAGCTATCTCTAAAAAGTTGGGACTATGAGAACTTTACCTGTGTATTTGTATGAAGAGCAAGATAGTGGAGGTGGCCTCTGCATCTGTCATGAGCTGGCTGAACTGTGTGGGAGGGTGGCATGATTCTGGGATGGGAGCATCCTATCTGTGTTGTCACCATGGGTC